TGAATTTTAACCCAATATTTCTTGAGCATGACATGTAACTGACACTACATATTTGTTTTTTCTTGTTGTTAAATGCAATTTTTTTTTAAAGTTCAAAATGTGACTCATCGTGGTGAATTCGGGCACCGGACCAAATAATAAAGTAGAAGAAAACGACAATTTTCTTCCCATTTGGCAATTTTTATGGAATCATTATTTTTTGGCTCAGCATCTTTTATGTCTAGATCTATTTAAAACACATCCCTGTGTGGCTTTTTACTGAAAATTGTTGATTAAAGGCACAAAACGTAAATTTACAGTTCCCAATGACTCTCAAACTTTGGAAGTCTCCAATATTTGGCGGCTATTTTCTCTCTAATTTTACTTCTGATAAAAAAGTGACCTTACCTTACATATCTCGACTTCTATTGAAGATAAATGGGTACCTTTTTTTCATCCGAACCAAGTCAAATGAACCAGATTTAAGACAATGCCAATAACTCCATATTTCGTCTTAGCCAGATTTCTTCTTTTTAATTTCAATTACTTTGCCTTTTGTCACTGTCTGCGTACAGAAAAATAAATATGAAGTTGAGAAGTGGCAAGCGATTTTAATTACAGCTGTTAATAACAGATTATTCTCTCTCTTGCTCTAGAAAAACAGAAGCGTTTAAAAATTGAATTGAGCAAAATGTTCTTTTCTGATTTTCTCTTCTTGGAACTTTGTTCAGGGGGGAGGTGGGGGGGCGTAGGGCACGGTAGGGGGGTAGGAGTGAGGTTTCCTGTGACATTATAAATCTAATTAAAAGTGTTAGAACACTGTGACTCTGACGAGACCGTTAGCGCGGAAGAGACGATCGAACCTGGGAATAAATGTGAGGCAGCGTGGTGAAATCAGGCGCCCGTAAAAATAATTTAATCGAAGAAACGCATTTTTTCTCCAATGTGGCAATATTTATCAAAATTTTGTTTTTCTGGCTCAACACCTTTTATGTCAATATAAATTCAGATATCCTTGAGAATTTTGCTGAAAACGTTGATTAATGGCACAAAATATTATGTAGATTTTCAGTTTTCAAGCACTCTCAAGCTGCAGAAGTTACAGACCTTTGACGGCCATTTTCTCGATAATTTTACCTCTAAAACCATGCTACTCCCACCACCTTCAATTGAAAACATTTGGACTTCTATTCAAGATAGACTGGTCTTTTTTTCAAAAAGCAAAGCAAGTGAATAAGCTTTCAGATGATGCCAAAAACTCAGAATACCCAGAAATTGACGAGAGCCTTTTTCCACAACGTCTTGACACAACTGTTTCAAACCTCCAGCTACGCAATTAAAGCCATCTAGTTCACAGACGGCTTCCACTCGGCCTGTAGAAGGTCACCTGAGCTGTGTGGGGTACATCTCAGCGAAGAAGAACAAAGATTAACAATAAAATATTAATACCACCCCCACTCTGTAAATTAAGCGTGTGCCGTCGTTACGAAAGAGACCGATAGGCTATCCACTGCACAAACAAGATGATACCGGTCTACATTTCTGTCAGGGGCACAGACTCAAGTATGAAAGTCATTTGGAAGCTCATATGCTCGCTTTTAAGGACAAGCGAACCAACCCAGATTTCGGGGGTTTCCAGAAATCTTGATCTACACCAAAAGTGGACATTGCCCTACCAATAGGAGAAGTTTGGTTTCATTGGTGTGTATGTTTGTTTGGTTATAGAGAAAACTCTCCTTGACTTTCAAAGAAACTGAACAAGCGGCAAAAACTTTACCTTCGATTTATATGTTTGACGTAGAAGCTGTTAATCGCATATTTTAAAAAAAGAACACTTTAGAGTTGATGTATCAACCCCCCCCCCCCCAAAAAAAATCAACACAATTTAGCTCATGTAAGAAGCAGGCTTCGACTCTGTCTGTCGTCGCCAACTAGGTCCAGACCGAGATACTCGATAACACTCCTCCTCAGGCGTGAATTGGTCGCTTTTAAGCACAAGGGGGCTATCCCAAAACAAATGCTGTTTTGAGAAAATCGAAGATAAAATTTTTGACCCTTGTTCAATTTCTTTAAAAAACAAGGAGAGTTTTCTCTATAACTAAACCCATATTATACACACCAATAAAACAAAACTTCTCCAACAGGTAGGCCAATGCCACTTTTGGAGTAGGTCAAGATTTCTGGAAACCCCCAAAATCTGGGTTAGCCCACTTGTCCTTAAAAGCGACCAATTGAGCTCGTTTCTTCCGCGTACCACAGAAACCGGTAAGAGTATGGAAGAACAAGATGTCGGACTGTTAGTTAATACTAAATACTATATAGCATTTGTATAATGCATATCCCCACCTAAAAAGCAGGCTCTATGCGCTTTACACTATATTATTACCCCAGCAGACCATAGAACACTCAGAAACATTCTCAGCTTCCCAGGAAGCAAACAGGGCTAGCAGCAGGTTAAGCGCTCAAACACTCACAAACTGACAAGATCTTTCACTGTCTTTTGCTGGGTACCCATTTTCAC